GCATAAAAAATACCATTGTTTCTTGTGGAAACTCCATTGAACTTTACTGTGTTTATAGTGCTCCTCAGAGTATGTAGCATTTTGTATTCAATACAGGGAAAACTATAACTACAGAGCCAACAGCATTATATTCTATGTATATACACTTTCCAACACCCTCTAAAATTTGGGGGTTTTGGAAGATACCCTAGAAAGAAAGTTGTGAAGATCTGAGAAACAGAATTGCCAAATCTGCCTGGTGTTAGAACTGCAAGCAATATAGATCTTCTAAAGCTAGCCATAACTGAAAAACTGCGGGCAGTATAAATGGATTTCAGGCAATCCCCATGATATGAGTCCTTAGGTGATATTTCTAAATTAGCATTGGCTAGAGAAGCTAAACTCTAATTTGCATTAACAAAACTTTGCTGTGGAGGCAAAAAAGATCATCTCTGCACTGACTATACTGTTAAAACAGCCAAATAGGCCAGCTCCTTACAAAACACTGCATAAAATAAATTCATGTACAAGCTGCGAAATGAGTGATTTCCAATATTGTGTTCTACTAATTCCCTCAAAATACACCTGCATGTGTACACACTATTCTTTGAAAGGCTGAATTTATGGTGATGAATAGACATGTTATTGTGAAAGGACAAAATAGTAACTCAAAGAAACGCCGACGGAAGAGATATGAACAGGTTTCAGAGTGCAGTGGATGGTGGCCAAATGAAGAAGCTGCTTAGAAGAAGCACTCAGGTACCTACCAAGGCAGCACTGCAAGTCTTGACTGGAAATGGAAGACTAGCTAAAAGCAGATTGCTTGCAAACATTCTGCTGTACTGTGCACTTTACTAGTACTTAGTACTTTAACAGTGGACGAAACAGAATCAAAACAAACAAAAATTGCAAGCAGTTCACCCAATACAATTTTAATGGTATTATAAGCTTTGACATACCCGGTGTATGTTTTGATAAACAATTTTGCTCATCAGTGAGAAAACCTGACAGTTTTAACATTATCTATTCCCATGGCTGGTACACACTTCTAACTTATAAAGCAGCACAGGAAGTATTTGAATACAAATACTTGCAGTAGTCTTAGCTCTCTTAGTACTCAACAACTGACTTGTTTAGGATAACAGGAAAACAGTTAACTATGGGAAGTTAAGAGAAAAGGTAGGAGTAAAATGCCTGGTTAAATCACTACAATGTCTTGCTTGAAGTTCCTGGAAAAGACATCTAGCCATTATTGCAAACATAGGGATGGCTAAGACTGTCACTTTAAATTCCTTTATTCTTAAATAATGGAGGGAAAGCAGGGAGAGGAAAGTATATATATATTTGCCCAGTACTTATACTCCCCACTTGGCATCTGGTTTTGGCCAATATGTGAAATGGAGCTCCAACCTAGACAGAACTTCAGCATGTCCTTGTGCTGACTGTCTATGTTCATACAGATGTCTGTTTCCTTTTATCCTAAAACAACATGGAGTATATTAGAGACAGATTTACCAGTGGCTAGCCATCCTTGGGGTAAGATGAGCATTTATCTCATACCCTAATGTCTGCAGTGAAACCATCAGGACATAAAAAGAATTAAGATCTGAGCCCGATCCCATCCTAGTAAGTTTTACCAATACTGACTCTTGTATTAGTGATTTCATTTTCACTGATTTAACTGAAGTTATTTTCTTTCTACTTAGTTACTTGATAAGATTCAAGCCCTCTTTACTAAAGCAGAACCCTAATCAATTTTATCACATGAGCCATAGGGTCCCTGCAGGGTTGCGTACCGTTCTGCTCAACTATGAAGAGCATTTTGCATCCTTTTTCCTCAAAAGTCTATTGTAAAATATTTAGGGAAAAAAACTGCCTATTTTTAACAGTATAAAAAAGAACTTTGTTAATTCAGTGAATGCCCACTCAGGGTCTGAAGAATTTGTAGTATTCAACCATAGATCTTTGTAGTGAACAACGAGTCCAATCATTCTGGTTGCATTATACAAAGTTCCAGGAATTCTTTGGCATGAAAGAATCTAAATACATTTTCTCTGGTATATGGAAATAATATTTGATTTAAAGATATATCCCACAGAAGTCAGTATTGAAAAAAACCTAGTTTAAGTATAAACAAGCTTTTTCACATTATTTAACCCCTTCTGTGACTTCTTCATGACCAATTCAACTTGCTTCTTGCCCCTGAATTATGATTCATGCACAAATTCTTTATATCAGTAAATAGATACTTAGCACTGACAGAAGAAGGGTCCCCATCAACACTTTACCAGATTTTTCATTTTTAGAAGTCAGTACTTTTGTCTAAATAAATGATCATGGAGCAAGAATTCAAAATGTGTTTGCTTGGGAAAGTGGCCAGATCATTTTTGGACTACCCTAAACCTCAAGCAACACATGCTGACAAAGAAAGAAATTACATTGGTTTTTCATTCCTTACATTAACTTCTTATTTTACCAAACTCCTCCTCATTCTGAGACTTTAAAAAATAATATGAGTAGTTAAGTAGTTTATTTTTACCATTTACATTTATAATAATGAATATCTAAGGATATAGGTGGTTCCAAATTAAGTTAATTTTTTTTTAATTTCAATTCAGCAATAATGAAAGTAATGCCTCACAGAGCTTTTTTTTTGCAACAGACAGGTTATTCTTTAAAACTACAGCCTGACCCAACACCTATACCTTCTCCAAAGTCAGCTAGTGACAGCTGCAACCACACAAGGGTTTGAGGTATCATAACTTCCCTTTATATTCTAGACAGGATACAACAGCAGTGATGTGTTTGCAATAGTAACAAATACTGAGTTTGGCTTTGATAAAAACATATGAGGAACTCAAAAAAACAAACAAACAAACAAACAAAAAAAACAACACCAAACCACTAGAAAACTAGCAAGCAAAGTTCAACACAAGCTGTTATTCTTCTCAGCAGCTGAAACCAAAGCAACATTAAATGCAATAAAACAGTTTCAAATCAAGGGAAAAACTTGTAAACTTTCTGTGGTAACTTTCTTATACTGCTACATAAAGCTTTCTCTAATTTGGTATCCATGAAAGTATTACCCATCTACTCCAGAACTGATCATTCATATTAGTTTGTCCACATTAACAATCTATAAGAAATATATCATTAAATGGACCAAAATCAGCCTCAAAATCTAGCTCCCCCAGAATGTAAATATCCCTAGTCTACAAGCAGTAAAAACATACAGATGGTTGTTAAAACAAAAAGTATTGATGCATGACTTCCTCCAAAATTTCTAGGTAGGCTTAAAACCAGCTATGATCTTTCTGAAATAAAACAAATTAATTTTAACACTTTCAGAACATCAGATACTATGCAACAGGTTTTAATCATTATTGTGACCAGCTCTAACTACAGGACACAATGGAATTGTTCACTAAAGCTCTTCCCATTTTTGATTGTACTATAAAAAAGTCTCTGCATAATAAATAGATATGGAAGGGTGTAGTGTACGCACATAGAAAAAGAAAAAGAGTTCAGCTCTCAAACTGAAATTATGTTGGCTTCTGGTTGTGTAAACTGTGTATCTTCAATGAGGTTGCAGTAATGCCGGAAGCATTTCCACATGAAGTCAGTCCTTATTCTCCTCAAACTGTCTGCACTATTTATTTACTTACTTAAAGAAAGGCTTCTCAAAAGAGATTTCACATTCAATAAAATTCTAGGCCTCTTCCATCCTTCCCTGAGTTAAAAATATTCCATCACTAGAACTATTGTACATAACTCAAATACATTTTGTTCTGAGTGAGATCATAGTCCTTTAGATACAAGACCCTTTTACCCATTAGACAGGTTTTCTTATTAAAAGTACTCTAATTTGTTTTATTTATTCTTTTAAAATGCTAATGCTAAAGTCCTGAGTGAATTCAGAAAAAGAAGAATGAAAACATTTCACAGGAATCTTTTACATTTGTGGCCTGACAGTGAAAGACAAGGATGCGTAGTGTCTTACTGCCAGAGGACATAACACGGCCTTGCTGAAAACAGACTTGAGTGTCTGGATTTTCTAAACTTGAGAGCACTAAGCAAAAAAAGATGATTTTGACCTATTTCACAAAACAGTCTTTTTGGAACTCATCAGGGTAAATTTATAGAAAAGGCAGCAGAGTCAGCTAAGGATTTCCCATAACAGAAATTGAGAAAATTCAGACTTCTGTTGGTGTTTCAAAACAGTAAGTAACAGGCACAAGTACCTTACTCACACTTCTGCGTTAGTCTCATCTTTCAATAACATCATCACCTATTCCTACAGATCTTTGGTCATTACTCTAATGTGTCCTGTAATTGCTTAATACAGTTCTTGAAAACATTTGGATTTTCAGAAGTTAAATTTGTTCAAGTCGTACAAGGCTACAGCAAAAAAAAAAAAAAAAAAAGAGAAGCATCACAGCAGAATATCCAGCCTTTAGTTTGCATAGTTATTCCAAAGGGTTATCAAACCAGCTGGGAATATAAAAGAAACAGTATATACAAAAAATATATAGGATAGTCAGTAAGACCTTTCCAATGTCAGTGAAGGATTATATCTTACAAAATGTTATTGACAACTTTGTGCATCCCAATTGCAGAATAAAACTTTTGGACTTCTTTTCTGTTGGAAATTAAAAATACATTTAGATATGCTAGGCAAAGAATTAACATAATTTCTGCTAGCTGCACCTCCAGTTAAATGACAAATCTTTTTCCTTGATACTCAGAGCCAAACATAATTATAAACTTTGTTTACTTTTCTGTTTTACTCTCCAGTTACAATTCTAATCAGCATCAGGCATGTGTATCTCTGTCATTAGCTATTTTGCAGCAGATACATTAAGCTGTGGAGGTAAAATTACAAAATTTTCTTTTCAATAGCAATGGCCCCTGATCTATTACAAAAAACAAACTTCCATCTCTAAGCAACTGATCTCTTAGCAACAAGAAGCACCTGCATAAAAGATGCCACAGAGAGCAATCACCAGAAAATCTACTCAGATCTTTAAAAGGAGCACATCAGTAACAAAGCTAGCACTCTTCACCGGTAAAAATCAAGAAGTAACAAGAGGACACAGGTAAATTTTTAATTCATTTTCTAGCATTTTTCTTCAAATAGTGTGAGTAGGACATTACAGAAATGTTTGTTTTGGTTTTGAGTGGGAAGTATGCCTTCTAGAGCTGTTTTAATCTGAGTTACTGTAATTAACTTTGTGTGAATTATATGTTCTCACTACCTAAATATACTTTTTTAAAGCAGAAAATCTGCAGGTCTCAACCCAAATTCTTGGTATTAACATAACAATAATGTGTTATATATTTTGTAAGTATTCTACAAAGTTTCTTTTTAAACAAATGGCACAATGTTCTTGCAGAATACTCATCCTTGGAAAGTGTTCACTTCATTCAACCTCTCAAACTGTATTACACAGGAAATACTAAAACTTTTTAGGTTTTATAGCTGCAGACTCCACTGGTTAAAAAAACAAACCTATTCAGTGTTTCTATGCTCTCTGATTTAATTATATCTACTCTAAAGCAGAATTAGTTCCATTCACTGCATTTCACACAAAGATGTGTACCACGACAAAGTTAAGGGAGAATATATAGCATGGGATGGACACTGTCAACTGTTGATGATGTACAGAAGTGTAGAATTAGTTGCAAAGTGAGTGAATTTGGATAAACCAACATTTCCAAGCATCATTGCCACAGAAGGGAAAAAAACGTATTATGAGTGAGGTTAAAAAAGGGCCATCAGGTAGAACAAGTCTGGAACTGACCCAGAAAATTTATTTATTATATCATAGCTTGATCTCTCTCAGTTGGCGTTTGCTGTGGAAAAGTGCTATCTTTCTTTAAGCTACTACATCTTAGTTAATAATGATTTCTGATTTAAAAAGTCATTTGCAGGAGGAATGGTTTGAGAATAGACATGCATTCTTCCTTAGTCCTGTTTTTTTTCAAATACCCAGATAAACTTTCTTCAGGATTAATTCACATACTTTGATAGAACACTTAGCATTTATAGCCGGAAAAAAAGTGAAAGTTTTAATTTACATTTCTTAGAGTGGCCTATTCTGTGTCAACTAACTTTTCGCTTAAGTTGGTCAAAACCACCCACCCAGCGGTAACAGCAAACCACTAGTAAATCCTCATACGGGTCTGCTTTGCCATAATCAAAACAAGGTAGTCCGATAAAAAGCATGTTAGAGAGAAATTTCAGTTGTCTATCCACAGCTCATTTTTGGGTTAGTTTTGAGTTAACTAGAGCTTATGGTATTTTAAGGAAACTTTGAGGTAGACAGGCAGTAAAATATATTCTTAACAATACTGCAGAAGTTGCATATCTCCATAGCTCTTTTGGATGGCTTACAAACGATGATATATCTACTCTGCTTCAGAAGATGTATGCTTCAGATGAAACCCTTCTACCACCTAATATGGATAGTATTTTTTACGAACATTATGTTGGTTCCTAAGCAACAATAAGACCTTTTGTGAAAGGTACTAAAACTGGCAAGTTATTTTTCCAAATCATACATCCAACTGCAATTAAAACCTCAGAAGAGGACATAGTCCAAATTTAAATTTCAGATCATTATTCTTCTGAAAGAAAAATCACCATATAATTACAGATTGTTCAGAAAGCAGAAACCCTTATTGTAGAGTCATTTAGGAAGCACATAGTATACTTTGCCTCACACATCCATGTTGTATAAATAGCTACAAGAAAACAGTATGGACATGGGCCAGAAGGGAGAGAGATGACTACCAAATTTTTAGTTACACAGAGCAAGTTCTCACTCCAAGTCTTGCTCACTACAGACAATCGTGGCTTTATGACTGGCTAGTTATTTTGAAAGCTTAACACTCTGGGGGGAAGTGATTTTTTTTTTTTTTTTTTTCTGGATGTGAACAGTCATCCTCTGAAGATCAGCTTTGACATCTAAACTATCAATTTCTAGAAAGATACATTTGAATCAAGACTTTCAGAATATCAGAACTTTCACCGGCTAGTCCTAAAGACAACATCCAAACTAAACTGACAGTATATTATACATACTTTATCTTGGAAGTTCACTAAGGTCCATGATCAATGGCAACATAAAAAGTTCATTTAGCCATTTCAGCAAAAATTTATAATCTTGGTCAGTACTCAGTTATATGTCAGCAACATCAGATCTTTGACATTAAGGATCACTACAAGGATCCAGTAACTTCTTTGGAATGTTTAAAGGCAGGATTTACAGCTCCATTGTACCATAAAAATCATTTACATAAATCACAAGGATAAAAGCAGCCTGCAGGATACCTATTCATCTACCACCTTGAAGAAATTAAAGCTCCAAGCTCACTCTATAGTGGCTTCAAATGGCTCTGCCATGATACCTAAATGTGTGTGTACATGACTCCCAGTTTGATATGTGACAACTTCTGATTTAACCTAAAAGTTATCTCAGTGGATGACCTGGAATGACAGGCACAGAGATGGTCAATTCACAAAACGGAAGATTGCAACCACCACGTAAAGGCACAGAAAAGGGGCATTGCCTTTACTACAGTGACCCAAATAAATAGTAATATCCAAACATAGTCCTACATTCATAGAAGATATTTTTAACATATTTGTTTCCCTGTCAATTGGTTTAATCTCTGTTGACCAGTTAAGTCCCAGACATATGCTAGTACTAGTCGGTGATCAGAAAACTAACGGACCAAACAGACTCCAAACAACAGAAATGTCAGCATTTACAACAGTACTGCAACTCCAACCCTCTCTGCACCTTGCAAACTTACAGTACACTTTGAGTATCAGAGATGATAAGAAATCAAGTTCTGTGTACACTGAGGTAAATAAGAAAAGCCAAGAATTGTTTACAGTTGTGTATGAAACACTCGTGGCCAGCACTAACATATAACAAATATGCAGTAGCATTTTAGAAGTGATACTGAAGGCATCTGACAGAACTTAAACTCAGAAAAACATGCTCTAGGGATAGACCCTATTCAGCTGTGAAACAAGGTAACACTGTTACAAGAAGGCTCCCTAAAATTAAGAAAATCTCAATCCCAAATAATAGCAGAGCCATCAAATGTAACAATCTTTCTTATTTCACAGTACAAACACATTCTTTCAACCCCATAAAATCATGAATATGTTCTGCGTTTTTGCCACACTTGCCCTCTGCCACAATGTTCTGCTTCCAGCTCCTCCTTTACCTGTCAAAATCTCTTTTAGATCACCAGGATGCTTGTTATTAAATTCCCACCTCTAAGCTTCTGCTGAAAGCTGTTGCCTCTTCCTTCCCTCTTCATCCTCCTCTAACTTAAACTACATATAAATTTATAAATTCCATTTAGATTAGATTTCTTATTAAGCAAGTGGTACAGGTTATTCTACAAGGCTATAATAATAATTTAACATTGCTAGAATACACTTCCATTGTAATTAGATGTGATAGATCTCTGCAAATACACAAATTCTAGCCCACTGACTTGAACTCAAGAAATGGCTGAAACAGATAACTATATGCAGTGTATTCATTCCCTAATGTTCACATTTTATCATAATTACCCTTCTTTTGAGTTGCAGAGGACTGAATTAAGAAAAGGAAACATAGCCGAAAAGAAGCCAGAGTGCTTTCAAAAACAGAGTAATATAAACACCTAACTATAAAAAGGCTGCTCTGCACATTGTAATTGCAAATGAAACCATCTATAAGATGACAGATGTCATCTGGAGCAAAAGTGGATCACTAAAGCACAGATTCAGAGTAAGTGAAAAATCAGTAAGAAAAGAAAAATATAAGCAAAGACAAAGAATGTCACAAGAGTAATGCAGTATCAGATGACCAATAAATTGTGATGGAAATCTCTCAGTGACATCCCCATTGCATCCTGAGAGTATTACAGGATTTGAAAAGACCACAGAATATCTGCAAGCAATTTTCAGGGTGACACTAAATAAACATGCAATTTGATGCTTACAGAATAATTGTACAGCTCAGTTTACAAGGAATGGTAAGCACTCTCAAGTTTAAAAAAGTTTTATGATATGTTCTCAACTTTACACCCCACAGACTTTCAAGGGAACAAGACAATCCTTGTATCAATGTTTATGTGACATATGCTGTACACCTGGTGATAATTATCCACTTCAAATTGATTAATTATTTAAAAGGAATGTAACCATGTAACAAAAAGACACATTCTTTTTAGTGGTTCCTACAATAGGTTCCATGCAAATTCAACTAATTTAACAGTAGTTCCACATATGACTTGTTAACCAACAGTTGGGAAAAGAATTTCTGACTTTGCAATAAAATCTATGATTTGAGGGCAATGTTAAAATAGTCGTATGGAACTCCTTCAGCACAAGCTCTATTAAAGAGGTCTGACATGCAGTTAAGAGTCAGAGACAGTTCTTATCCTATGTTAAGTGCTATAATCCCAAAACTGTGCTTTAGTGATCTGATCCGTTGCTCCAGCTGAATTTTTTTTATGGAATTTTTTTCTTTACTGTGGAACCTGTTCTCATTCATCATATCATCTTTTATAAGAAAATGTTTGACAGCACTTAAGCTTTTCTCACAGTGTTTTATAGTCAAGACTTAGAGATCAGTAATTGGAAGGGCCCTCTGCTGGCAGATGCTTTCCCAGCTGTTAAGATCCATAATTATTGCCAGGTCAGGCAGCCTGTGCACATCCATCTATTTTGCCACAAAAGACCTTCCTTATTAGAAGTCTCCTTCCTCCCACTATTTAATTTTAAAGCTTTTTTGCCCCACCCATCCTCGTTCCCATTCTGCCATATAAGTAACAGAACCAACAAATCCCTCTGATCAGATGCATACCTCAATCAACTGCAAGGAAAGGAAAATTACCTATAGAATATTTCAAGATAAAATGAGCAAGAATAGTGAAAGCTTATTTCATGTGCAATGGACACTCTATCTGTGTTTCAGTTTGAAACTTCTTCAGTCTACTCAGTGACTATTTACTATCAAAATTTATTTCGCTGAGTTTTTTATTAGGAGTTATTTATCTCATGGACAATTCTTAAAAAATACAATGGGTACAAGCAAGAATAGCAGTTCAGTTGAAATATTTTTAAGGTGACTTTTTCATGGTTCAGTTGTTTTTTGCAATTAAAAAAAAAAAAAAAAAGGCATTAGAAATGCAAAACCTGAAAGTCTGTTTGGATCATACTCATTGAATTGAGGCAAGGAACTTCTCAATACAAGAAATGTCAATTGTTTGTTTTAAGAGCTTGAGGAGCCACTTTGACTAAAAATAAGACTGCATTGGATTGGTTCAAGAGTATAAAAAGGATTCAAATTTAATACAGTGCCTTTAATACCTTTTATCTACATCACAGTATGATCCAGGATATAAAAATTATAAATCTAACAGCTAGGTGCACACTGATGTATCAGATATCATATTACAGCAAAAAAGATGTTATTCTTTTACTAAAAAATTATAAAATTACAAAGTTGAGATAATCTAAAACCTAAAACCCAATGCATTACAATCTGTATATTTTGAAAAGACAGAAACCTGCCTTCATTTCTCTGTCAAAACAAAGCTAAGCTTTAGTTGTGAATAACTAAGAACTGAGCAAGATCAAAACTCAGGGTCAATTTTTAGAGAATAAAAGGGGCGACTCATGCTTGCAAAGTATACCATGCAAACAAATCAGCACCTTGAACTCTAGCATGGCTTAAACTACAGATATAAGATTCATAGATATACATTTGTACATACAGGTGTGTTTATTTCATACCACCCAAATGCATAACCACCTACATACTTCTCTTCATAGGGAATAAGAGGCAGAGAAACTACTGTACAGACACACCATAATGTCTTGATGATCAAAACAACAAAAAAGAACGAACATCAGAGCCTAACTCTGGCAATGAAGTACAGAGATGAAGTTCATCCAGATCCAGAGAGAAAGCAACAAAAAAGTGAAACTATATGCCCTAGGTGTAGTTATTTCCTTCTGTAATGCTGTAAGATCATACAGTAAAAGGGGCTGAAACTAATAAAAGTATTTACCTATACACGCAGGCATGCATTTTTTGTAACAAACAGTACTCAAGGAAATTTAAAGCTAGCATTTTTATTTGTACTGAACAAACATCGTTAGTATGCAGCAGTATATCAGTGAAACTAGTAAATACCATGTTAAAAAAGTGCTTGTGATTACAAAAACATTCTTCACAACATGCAAGACAGTACAACAGTTGATTTTGTACAAGATGTGATATGTACATGGACACCCTCGTGAGAGGTGTACTGCTAGCTATTGGAATAGCAGGCATGTTTCTAAAAGGTCACCTGGCATATTGTGTCATGGTCATTTTGGATCACAACAGTACCAGAAGCCTTGCATAGCAATCATCTGAAATACTGGAGCACTGTATGCACCTGCAAGGTTTTGAGCCACTGCTTGCTCCCTTCCCTAGGGTTTTTCCTGTACTCTATACATTTTCTACTTTGATCATAAATACCAATCTTCTTACTATCTAGAAAGCAACTATTACATTCTTGGCTTAGTTTAATATAGTTATAGCACTGACAGTTACTACAAAGTAAGCTGTACTTTCTTGTGCAATGTGAGACCAAAGCACAAGATAAACAAGAAAGCACTTGCTTAAAGGAAACTGTAGCAAAAAGCTTCCTATTAAGTAAATAGATCCTTCAAGTTTGAAATATCATCGCAGGTAGGAACAAAGCAAATCTACTCTTAATTATTGTCAGAGCAGAAATAAGAAGGTGTTTTATTAATAATTACTGTCCAGATGCAAGCAGTATCTTTCTGTGGTTATGTGAATTCTAATTCCTAGAATAACAACTTCTTCCTCAGGTACAATCACCTCTCATATTTTATGATTTAAATCAAAAACATGAAAACAAATTCAAAGGAATCCTTCTACTCCCCCTATGAATAACAGACCTGTCCATTTGCTTGATTGTTCTTTCCTGTGCAAACTGCTAGTTACTGCCTGAGGAAAAATATAGCACCAGACAATCCATGATCCTGTTTGTTATGGCATACACTATATTTTTCAAAGTATTTAGCAGAAGAACCATAAAGAAATGCAATACATTATATTAAACTCAAATGTTGAAAATAATAATAAAATAAAACTTAATACACTGTTTCAAAGAAATACCTGGGGTATACTCTGTCTGCATCATTGAAAACTACCATAGTTATTCTGGAAATTCAAGGACTCTGGCACTACCGGCATGCAGGAAGGAAAAAGGCTAAGTAACAGAGATAAAAGCTTGCAAATGAACTCATTCAATTCTTCCACCTGTGTTGAAAGTTTAATTTCTTGTGTTTTGGTTAGAAATTTGCAAGGAGTAAACCTCAGTATTGGCCAGCCAAGTCAGTATCAGAGATAAGATGTCTGTCAGCCAAAGCATCCAAAACTATGCTTCAACATCAAGGTCAGAAAAGCTTTGTTATTTCCAAGCAAAAAGAGTGTCTGCTGCATGTCTGTTTTGACTTGTGATCCAGCTTGTCCTGGCAAGCAGTCCAGGCAGTCACTCTCATAAAATAAAGCTACCTCAGGAGCTAATTTGCTCATTTACAAGACCCACAAAGGGGTTGAGAGGTACCAACTAAAGCTGAACATATCTTTGAAAAACTCTGCTTTTTTCTCCTTTTTCTCTCTCTAAAGCAAAGCAGAATCACTTGGAAAAGATGGTACTGGAAACTCTGAATCCTATGTGCTACAACATCACCAGCCTGATACCAGATACGATGCCTGTGGCCACAGCGCCTATACTCATTGTCATGTGCTTTCTGTTTCTAATGTGGAAACATAAAGAAACTTCATCGATACCAGGTAAATTAACTTTAGCTATAGATCACCTAAAAGCTGTCACTGTATTTTTTGTTTATTTCTCAAATTTAAGTGAGAAAGTAGTGTTGAATGATGATTGTATGCCAACAGAATTTACTAAGTGTCAGTTTAAATAATGCAGCTTTTTAAAACAACTGATAAAAGAAACCAGGCTTGCTCTAACCTCAGAACCTCCATAATAAACCTGGCTTGGCTACATATAACATTTAGTTTTCTGCTTTATTGTGTATATGCTAGAAGGACATAATATCACATTACAAATTCCAAGTGTTCATATTTTCATGTGCATGATAAACTACTTTTTAGATTTATCAAGTTTAAAGCTTTCTACATTGTCTTTACTAGAAAAAGTTATCTAGGAAATTATTCAGATTTTAGTAGAGTATCAATTTTTCTCTCCATATTTGGCACTGAAGGCCCTCCAGAACAGAACCTCATCAAATGGTTTCCCTTTCAGAGATCCCCTTCTGTAATGTTTTGGAGGCTTATGGTAGACGTTACTGATTCAGCTTATTTTTCATTAGATGCAATGCACTGACCTACTGCATGAATGAGAACAGTGTACACATCTCACAAAGGTGTTTGACAGGAATAATCCTAAACCAATGTGGTGGCACCTGAATGAAAATCTGAGAAAAGAACCTTGCCAAACATCCTCCAATGTGCTAAAACTCTTTAAAAGTTAGAGAATGGGGGAGAGTATTCACAGAAGATTATGCATTCTAATTGAATGCTTGGATTGGATTAACGAGAAGATAGAACTAAATTAATATGCTTTAAATGTACAGGTATTTAAACAATCTGGGGTCTTGCAATTCCTATCAGTAAACAGTGGAGCCATAAGCAACTTCTAAATTTTTAAACATTATACAAAGGTTTTGTAAATACTCAATTTGTTTTGTTTTATGGAGCTAGATCTATGTTTTACAGAGAAAAGAGGCAAATTTAGCTTTCCCTGAAGAAGGAAACTTCCTTTTAAAAGTATTTAAAGGCAAATTCTCTCCTGCTGTCTCCACTTTCTCCTTTTGGTTGTAAGAGGGAAATTTGGTGCTGATTTACAGTGGAAGGATTTAGTCAAGAATTTTGTTGACTAAATGCTTATTAATTCATTCTTAGCTCCTACTTATGTTTTCATAAACTCACAGCAGTAAAATACTTTTTTCCTTAAATATCTGTTTTCTCACTCTAGTATTAATGACTTTAAGAGATGTAATTAATTGCTTTTAATGACATCAAAAGGATATTGAATTTTGTAGGTGTTATTATGACACTTCAACACAAGTTCAGCAAAGATCACTCTAAGGATTTGTAATAATCACAAATTAATAAGCCATATGCATTTTTTCCAGATCATTTCTTCTAATATCTAGCCCCATTGTCCCTCCAAAGGAAAGCAATCTCAAAGCAGCAGTTTGAAGTTGTACAAAGAAATCACGAATGCCATTTGTTGTACCTACATTGTAAGCACCACAGGCTTCCACAGATACTAAGTGAGGCTTCAACAACGTAGATGCAAGTTTCTTCAAAACAGAACTTCGGAACAGGATTGTATATGTGAACTGCCCAATGCAGACCTTGACTGTTATGTTAAAAAGCTCCTTTCACAAGGGTGATGCTCAGATATATACGCTTGTCAGTGAGCACTGCTGAGACCAGACTTTTCTTACCCTGTTTCTTAGGGCCAGGATACTGTATGGGAATCGGTCCCCTCATTTCACATGGGAGATTTCTCTGGATGGGAGTAGGTAATGCCTGCAACTACTACAATAAGACATATGGAGAATTTGTGAGAGTTTGGATCAGCGGTGAAGAAACATTTATAATTAGCAAGTAAATCCTTATTTTCTATCCTTAATAATATGAAGAGCTTTTTCATATATTTACAACCTAATTGCTACTTTCTTTTCTAAAGCAGAATTGAAGTCATTATTTTCAAAAATTATCCCAACATAAACCTTTTACTTCCTGCTGTTAACAGATGTTTTTCTAATCTTTTGTTTCTTTAAAGACCCTACTACTGAAGTCAATGGGTGTTCTTTCATTTTCTTTATGGAAATGAAAATTAAGCACTGTGGCTCAATCCTAAAAAATGTTTACCACCTCTTTTACTATTCCATTTAATATTAGAATTACATACTATACAGGAACCTAGACTGACTGCAGTGTAGGATTAAGCCAGATTTCAGTTTCCTGTGTTCTTAAATTTCTCCTTAAACTGGGAGTAGTGCCTGAGGTTTATGGCTCTAATTCAGCAAGTTAATTAAGCAAATGCAGCCTTACAGGATTATGAGTAATTCCACTCCAATTAATTGGATTACTCATAGACTTCAATTATACACAGTATTAAACATAATGCTAAACAGCACTCTATCATTTTATTAGCTCCAGTGGATGGTTGCTTTCTTACACTGGATCTTCTAGATGTTTATGAATTATGCCATGGGAAAAAAAAAAAATGTTTACCATGTGTAATTGATAAAGAATCACAACCTTTTTATTAGCAATATCAGTCAATCCATACTCAGCTTTTATTATGTATAAGCTTTTGAAAGACAACATAGTATAGAGGACTATCACAGGATTTGCCATGTGAAGCAAGTCAACTTCATCTCTACTTTTACCTCTGTAAAAAGAAGTAATCATGGCAGGAAAACTACGTTCCCATCCTACATAGGTGTTGCAAATATCAACTAATGCACTATAGTGTTTTGATAATATAAAATACTATAAACTCTTGTTGCTGTCTTCCACTTTCTGTACTACCAATTAATCAGAAATAAACCAGGAGTGCTGATAAACAATGCTGCAGCTGCATCAGACTTTACAGTCAATACATCACTTTTCTTCAGACATTTTTTGCTTAAAAGCACTGACTGCACATAGAGAACTAGTATTTAACTTCTTTAAAAAACAATAACATGGAATAAAGTTTTCAGTGGATCAGAAATTCACTGCAAAACTCAACATAACCTGAATTCTGTAAAAGCAAACTATTTCCACCAATCTAATCTGAATTTTTACCATCAAATCCAATCATACTGAGATGCTAATATACAGAGAGAAGGACTTGCAGTTTTGTTTACAACAGATGTCTTTTGGAGGACTTAATTAAACAGTTTCATAAGGAAAATCTGCTTATATAATGTCATATGTCAAATTCCTTCCTTAAAACATTATTTGTCTCCTGTGTAGATGAGTGGAATGGATAGAAGCAAAATGAGCCACCTGCATCTTGCATTCTTGGGGACAGCTGTCATAATTCAACACCATCTTTTCATGTTCATGAAAATATAGATGATGTTCCCTGACATGCAAAAAACTTTTGAGGAAATTAGAAAAGAGAGCAGATGTAGGGAAGCGTAGGAAAGAAGAAATATATGATTTTTTTGGCAGGTTGGACCTGCAGTCACACACCTCCCTGTCTTTTACTCCAATCCTTAATCCATGTTTGTCTATTTGTACCATGGAGCATCTCACTGTAAACTTTACAGTGGTCTCTGGTCATGCAAAACTATGGAGAAAACCCAGCACTGCCGAACTCAATAGCAAAAGTTCTGTTTACTTTGCCTGACTGAAAAATTAAACTTAACCCATATAAGAAGTCTGGGATTTGGTCCCTAGAGTATGCTACATGGTAAAGAAAGCACATGGTTTCATTTCAGGTCCCTATTCTGATTTTCTTTCTTTCTGTTGGATTTCATTTTATCAGGTTTTCATCACTTCGACATCTCTGAAATACTAGCTCCCTCTAAAGGAAATTATATCTTAAAGCAATAATGCTGGTCACAACCTGTTTGCCAGCATGGGTAAATAAACCTTGTAAACTGTAAAAATAATTGTACATAGCATGGACATCCCTAACATGTCTTTTTAGGAATATTTATCCCACACATATCATCATATTATGATACTGCATATTTAAATGATGCATGTACATTTATGCTTTCTGTATGTGTCTGGGAATGATCAAATAGCTATAAAAAGTATCATGATGAAATTATCAACTCTCAAATATTTTACACCTCATCTTCTGAAATATCTGACATTGGTCGTTGCGTGAGTGTATCATCTATCTACATGTTTCTATGTATACACACTTATTCAGATTAAAATATTTTGGTAACCATTGGCATTTTAACAGAAAAATAGTTTTAAATCTGAACACAATACATTATTGCTCTAATATACATTCTGAAGGCATTTATCACATCAAGATTTTTAAATTATGTAAAAGGAACAACATTTAAAGTCAAGCATTGTACTTCCTGCTAAATTGAGAATGCAAGTCAGTACTTCAGAGCAACTATAAAATGTCAGAATTAAAATTTTGCATATAATCTATGAAACAGTACTCTCGTTTTGGAATTTCTTCTCCCCGTTTCTTTCCCAGACCCTCAAGTGTGTTCCATGTACTGAAACACTGGCATTACGTTTCTCGATTTGGGAGCAAGCTTGGATTACAGTGCATTGGCATGTATGAAAATGGGATCATATTTAATAACAATCCAGCACATTGGAAAGAAATTCGACCCTTTTTCACCAAAGGTAAATCAGTGTGGACTGATACACAGCATCACTGTAGCACACAGTCTGTCTTTTCTGAAACGCTTGTCCTTTGCATTCTTACATTACAGAAATCAGTTCTCTTTATATATCCCATAGAATTATTTTATTGCACATGTTCTTTCACACTTATCCTGCTTGGTATGTTATTCAAACTGGAACTGAAATAGTTTTTCAGGTTCTTAATCTCATCCAATTAAAACACAATTAAATGATGCCCACAAGCCATGTTTTTAAATGTTTTTACACTTCAAGTCCAGCATTTACATTATCTTAACTGGCACTTCCATAAATGTAGTTGGCTGTTCCTATCCCAGCCTCCACTGAGTTCAAAGACTTTTCTGTCCTGTTCTAATTGAAAAAAAAAAAAAAAACAACAGCGCTTTCATTTCAAACTGAATGTAGCAGATCTGCACAGCAGAATTATTTATTAATCCCTTTAATATACTATGAATCACTGTATTAACAGAGAAAAAGATTGAAGTAGTTAATATCACTAGGTTGAAATCAAATAGGAAATTACATAAACTTCAGGGTTACTATTTTATGAGTCTGCAATTTTTTGATTCACTTTCCACAAATTGAAAATTTTCAGCATTTGCATATTATTAGAATTAGCTACTTCCAGTGACCTTACAACCTTCCTAACAAAACTGCCACACTTATTCTGCAAGCTCCACATTTGAGACTGCAGTAGTTTATGACAGTGATTTCAGAACCTGAAAATGAAAGTAAAGCAAAGTAAAACCTAAAATAAATTAATTATCTGTTGGTTTAATTGATATTATTTTGTTGTTATATCTGTGCCGCTATATGACACTTGGGCCTCTCCTACGTGATTTTGCTAATGAAAAATATCCACAACTACTTGAAGATGGCAGGAAAAAAAAAATATTTTTCCACATATTCCTAGAAAAACCTGTTCTCTCTATTTACAAAACAGACCCCTCTCTTCTCAAATACAACTATACAATCCCTCTCAACATATATTTGATAAAATAATGTCCTTGAGGCAATTGCAGCAATGCTTGTATGGAAAAGTAATTTAAATAGAGTACTTAGGGTGAGAATTCCAGTCATTCAAAAATTATCTGAATCTATTCCAGCTGAAGCCTATCAAAATCACACTGAATTACATAGCAACAGAACAGACCACTGCTTCTGGTTGCTTTTGGAATTCTTAAAAAGCAGTAACTGTCATGATCTTATCTCCACTGTTCATAGGTGGACAGACTACTACCAGGCTAGGCTTCAGTATGTCCACAGCAACGTTACAGGTTGCCAGTAGCTAACTGCAAAGCTGTTTAAGAGCACCCAGGAGATAAGTTTTGAGAAATTCCCATCATCCTCCCCACAAATGCCCAAGCTATCTTCCCTGCTCAGCATCACTGCAAGCAAATGAGACAGGACATCCCCAGTGCCTATAATGCAGAGGATGGTAGGGATACCCTCCCACACAGAAAGGTAACACAAATGATGCCAAATATCTGTCCTTAAAATGTTATGAACCTAGCACAAAACGTGTGCATTAAATACCAAGTGGCTGGAAGCAAGGGAAGTTGGGCTTTGAGTTCATTGTCATTTTATCTCAAAATTACTACATTTTTCTTTCAAAAGATGATAAATCAGTAAATTTCAGAATGATTTTATACCAGTCACTCACATGATAATGTTTTACATTTTATTAATACCATTCTCACCAACTGATACATTATAAATAAGGCATGAAAGTTAACCAATCTTTTTATTATTTGGCACATACATTTCAGCTCTGTCCGGTCCTGGTCTCGTGCGTATGATAGCAATTTGTGTTGAATCAACAACTGATCACCTGGATAAACTAGAGGAAGTAACCACTGAAGTAGGAAACATCAATGTGTTGAATCTTATGAGACGGATCATGCTTGACACATCTAACAAGCTTTTTCTTGGGATCCCTTTGGATGGTACTAACAGTTTTATTTTTATACCTCATGATGGATCTAAACTGCATGTCCAAGGAAAAGTCATTGACATCACTCAGCAGTTTTGTTTCAAAAACAGGGCAAGAACAGACTTTTATATCACTGTATAATTAACTGAAATTTATTTATGAGTGATTTTAGTTATAAAAGAGAATTTTATATGACCAGAAATATACATTACTTTGTCACGTTCACCTTAATAACCAGCGCCGTTTAACAGATCTTTATGCATTGCATTGGTACAATCCCAATATTATATGCATGTAAGAATCAAAAATCTTTCCACCAAATAATTGCCTTGAAAAGTTCATCTGAAAATTGATGTCTTCTGTGATTTCCTCATTCTCAAAACTATATGACAGAAGTAAGATTATCGTGATGTCTAGATTATCCCTTTTCAATATGCTGCAAGAATTCTGCTTCTGCTCTCCTGTTTGGCTCTGGTTGACACACCACTCTCCTTTTAGCTAGCTACCAGGAATTTTTACAAAGATTTATACCTTTTCCACAGTGTGCTACAAATGTTTCCTCATGTTCTCTACCACCATTAGAGCCAATTGTTTATCAAATCCCCATTAACTTAGCTGGAGTAGGGAAACAGGGCCTTATTATTAACTTCTCTGAAGCATTTGTGTTATTTGCATATTGAGGTTTATATTTCATACTGATTTTTGTTAACATTTCTTTTCAGAACATGCCATTGTACTTAAGATTCAAAACTACTTTGATGCTTGGCAAGCACTTTTATTAAAGCCCGACATCTTTTTTAAGATTTCTTGGCTGTGCAAGAAATATGAAGAGGCAGTGTAAGTATCAACAGCTTTAGAAATCATTTGCATAAGATTCTTTCTACAAAGACGATCGTCTTTGATGTTTACCTCCACCTTTAAACTGTGAAACTTGCAAAGGCTGACATGCCCTATAGACAGACCCAAGATAGCAACAGGACAAGATTTGCCACTGATGCTACAAGTGTCTGATCTCAGGGGATGATTTAAAACCCTTGTTTATTCAGTCATAATTTACTCACCAAAATATTAGTTAATGCCAGCTCAAATGTGAAGTTAAATTGAAATCACTTGTTCAGTTCAAATAGACAAGGAAAAGTTATTATCTAGGGTGAAATTACATTTGCTATCTAGTCAAGGACAGTCAAATAGTAGGCTACAGTTCATCAAAACAAGAAAATCCATCTGCATTCATGGTATTGTCCCAGAAGAGTTAACCCCTGAGCATCATGCTATTTATTTGTTCCCTCAATGTGCATTTTTGACTCAACAACTCCTTTTTGAGTTAAGACTCCGTGCTCAGCATAGCATGATAATACACACCAAGGGTTTTTTTCCTAAATAAGGAACAAATACGTTTTGCCATCTTCCTCTTTGCGAAAATACTAAATGTCTCTTCTATTTTTATGATCTCATTTGCTGTTTTCTACCAAAAGAGGACTGACTATAAAAAGAACTGGCAATCAGTTTGTTCATTTTGGATTTGGATTCCATCTAGTGAGAGAAACTACTACTTCTGAAGCATGGTAATAAATTGTTTTGATGGTGCTATATAACATAAAGGCTTTAAGGGAAAGATGGAGGTTAATCTAAAGTAATTGACAACACAAGATTTACCTTCTCTAACATTTGCTTGCCAGTTTTATTATGGCACTGATTAGTGCTTTATCCTGCGATTCTAATAATAGCTAACTGTGGTGGCACAGTTATTACTAGAAAGCCCTGCAGGCAAATATTGATGTTTCAAAAGCAATCCCATTAAAATGGACGTATTAATAAATTTCTACTGAAAAAAATAAAATAAAATAAAATAAAAAAGCACATCACCACAGGATATGTTGACTTATGATATTCTTCTGCTAAAGTTGGCAGAAGGGACCATTTGGTATTTCTAATACATAAAAAACGTTATAATAATGAAAACTTTGCCAGATTTGAAGTTTTAAATCCATTGACCCCTACAAACCCAGTCAAATTTTCTATCCAAACAATAACCAACACAAATGGAAAGCCTAAGGATTTAATTTTAAAAATTTCAAATTACTTTTTAGAAAAAAAATCCTTCAAATCTATAGCTAATTGAAAATCCCAAATAAAATAAAAACTGTTAGACATTGCTTTTTTCCACCACTGTAGTACAAACTGTACTGACTATTTAAATATGAAAAATTCAGATCAACTCTACCTTCAAGACAGTATAATTTTTCTAATGTTTATCTACATTTTTCTAACAGTTATCCCCCATGTTCTCTAAGTTCATTTTATTCACTGAAAAAAATACAGGATAAAATAGAAGGAAATAAACAAATTCTTTGGAAATATTAATAAATCTTTAAAACCTCTATTTATCGATAGGATATACAGACATATTTTTCATCATTTTCAGTCTATCCTCTAAAAAGAGAATAAGATTTCAGTCAAAACTAACAAGCCATTATTTAATAAGAGAATACACCTTCCCTTAGTATTACTGCTTTTGCAGAGAGCCATATAACCACTCTTAGGAATACTTAATTTCTGCCATTCTTAGATGTTTTTATTGGTATAATCTTTATGTTTCTAATCATATCTCAGTATATACTAAAAGTCTGTAGATACTTATATCAGTATGTTGGGTTTTATCTGTTTTCAGAAAGGATCTGAAAGGAGCAATGGAAATATTGATAGAACAGAAACGACAAAAGCTTTCCACTCTTGAAAAGTTGGATGAACACATGGATTTTGCATCCCAATTGATTTTTGCACAGGTATTGGCAATGTATTCAAAATATGGCCAACTTTGATTTTCTGACTTTCTCCTGTCACTAGCAACACAGGCTTTGCAACTTAAACTTCATGTATCTATCTGTAAGTCACGACACCATAAAGGGATACAAATCAGTGGGTTCTGTGGAGTCCCTAACAGTGATTCAAGCATTAAATAGTTGCATTTTCACAAACAGGTGCTTGTCTGATCTTTTTCATGGCTTAAACAACCTTCTTAAAACTTTTGCATCTATCCCTGAATGTCCTCCAGTTTTTAGCTAACCCTTGTATTTTATCTTGATGTACTGCCTTTTGTTTTCAAAGGCTTCAAATTCCATGTAAATCCTATCTTGTATAATCTCTGATCAGCTCACAAATTCTGTGAGGTAAGGCAAGAAATCAGAAAGAATCTGAGCTAAGAACAAATTCTTGCTTTTCTGTGAAATAATACATATGCATCAAAAGGAGTTTTCTGTTTTTCTCCAAAAGACAAAAAATAGATGCTATTTAGCATGAGATAGAAAGACTGTCAAGATTTTTACTTTTGTTTAAAGCAGACAGCCTAAGCCCTTCCATTCTACTTCTATAGGACCATTGTTGGCATCAGAGGCCAGCAATCAAAGTTTTCCCCAAAATTTCCATTTTTTTTCAGAACAGAGGGGATCTGACTGCCGAGAATGTGAACCAGTGTGTGCTGGAGATGATGATTGCTGCTCCTGACACTCTGTCTGTGACTCTCTTCTTTATGTTAATACTGATTGCAGAGCACCCCACAGTGGAAGAGGAGATGATGAGAGAAATTGAAACTGTTATGGGTAAGCAGAAGCTGCAAAGTCAGTGATGTGGGAATATCATTTTGCTTCAGCAGTGATCTAATTTTGATTATTCAAAGGTTGAAAAATCTGTTTCTTCCAACAGAATCATTTGTTGTATAATATATGAAGTATCATTATGTAAAAGATTTTATTCAAGATCAAATGAAAGATGATGAGCAATCTGTAGGATAAATTCAAACAGGAATCATTGAATTGACTATCTATTAGAAAGAAGATGTTATATTCACAGCAACAACAGTGCAAATCAGCACTCACCTCAAGTTCCATTGAAATTATTTTCCATTTATCTTGAAATAGCAAGAGACCACTCATTTCAAATACTTCTAATCATCAATTTCCCTGTGTATATCTAGAACCTGTCTAACTTTCACTATCACTGAAGAGGAGAAAAAATAGAGAAAATTTAAATTATATTCTGCTGCCACCCACTTTGATATCAAACTGGCCTCCTCTTCAAGTACTAACTATTAAAAGCACAACCAAGATATTCCAAATTTGTCTGTATTCTTCCCTTTCTCTAGACTTCATTCAAAGCCTGACACTTCTAATCTAGAAATTAATTTACCCGCTCTTATTCATTATTTACTTCTGGTCTGTTAAACACTAGAAGGTGTATAACAAATCCTTTATTCTTTTTATAAGGTACTTTTAATAAACCTTATTTTATTGTCCTCACAAGAGTTGAGTACTCACTTATCTTCCCTCTTTCTTTCTGATAGCCTTGATTTCTAAGGCAGCAGAATGTTGTTGCTTTTTCCCTAAGCAAATGACCGACCAGGGTAGCAAATCTGCCTTTGACCTTGAAAACCAACCACTACAGTGTTCCTAAACTGCTTGTGACTTGAAAGTGAAAGCAGGGCTCCCCCTGGCAGTACATCATGGTGCCGATACCGCTGCTGGTGGAATCAAGCTGGGAGGAAGTTACTCATGGTAACTGAAATAGTCAGGCCACAGTAGGACCCAGCTGTACATCCACCCTAACCCAATCACACGGTGAAAATTTACAAAGTTATCTCCTGTCTCCAGACTATTCTCAGATTCCATCTGCTGTCAGCTCTCAGATTTCTTTGTTGTCTTGTCGCTCTCAGTCACACGAAATTCAGGGAAGGACTTTCAGAGTTCTGTCATTGACAAGAAAGCAGAACATACACTCATAATGCATTAAGAAGAAGGTGAGAAGATCATAAGTCAATAAAGTAGGATTTATGCTGATGAACAATATACAAGATTTCCTGAATATGTGAGGCTACATAAAAGTCCTTAGAAGCTGTTGGATTCTTTCTATCATTTCAGGAACTGAGAATCTTCGAAAAAAGTTTTGGTGTTTGTACAATTAAGCTATTAAATTCCTAACCAACTTCTTCACAATCTGTTTTATTCCACAAGGTGACAGAGATATACAGAGCGATGACATGCCAAACTTGAAAACCGTGGAGAATTTTATTTATGAGAGCATGAGGTATCAGCCAGTTGTGGACTTGATCATGAGAAAAGCTTTACAAGATGATGTAATTGATGGCTATCCTGTGAAAAATGGGACCAACATTATTCTCAATATTGGACGTATGCATAAACTTGAATTCTTCCCAAAGCCGAATGAGTTTTCTCTTGAAAATTTTGAAAAAAATGTAAGTTTTCTATCTTATTTCTTACAGGAAATTAGGTACTATTTATTGACAATGTCTCTTCCTTTTATTGTGACCATAAGACTGTTCTCCCTTTGTCTAAGTGCCTAGTTAGCTATACATCGTACTTATTACTATTGTTATTACAAAAGCTGAGCAGATATTTTCCTACCAAAGTGCCTTTTAATTTAAAAATAATTATGACACCTAAAAGTTTTCTCAGACATCTTAATTTTGATTAAAAATTTCTGATTAAATTTGTCAAAGACACATAGTTCCCATTATATCCCCTGACAGTGGAGAAAAAGAGGCTGTAGGGAAGTAGAGCCCTGCAAACAGTATAACACAGAGCTGAGGCCACGTGAGGATTCTCTGGAGAGATGAATCAGTATTGTAACTCCCAAGAGACTGAGAATCTATCACCCATTTTACTCTCTTTTTTTAATTCCTAAATAAATACAAACATATTTAATAGACCAAAATGGAAATCCTACATTTTAATCAACTCAATACTGCAGATGTTGAGTAATTCAGTCCCAGTTCAGCACAGCACTTCAAGTTACATTCTAACTCCCAACAGTGCTAGAATTTTCTTTAGTGTACATTACTGAATCCTGTATCAGAAGAAATATGTGAACTTTTTTTCCTACCTGTTATCCCCCTACTATTATAAATCATCTTTCAGATTATTTACTTTCATTTAGAGCTCTGCTTTTCTGCTACTGATTAAACAAATCATTTTGCAAAAGTGTATTTGTTCAGAAATAGTCGTCTGGGTAGATTAAAATGGTATTGAAAGAAAATAGACTGATTCTATGGCACATGTGACTCCTTGTTTTTGACTGTTCACCAGTGCAGATGGAAGCAGAAGATACTGCTACCCACATGACAGAGAGCACAAAATATGAAATACTAAAGTTTGGTCAGCACTCCTGTGAGGGAATCAGAAAGGTATCTGGAATAAATAGCTATGCAAGAGTGGAGGGCATAATCAACTTAGTTCTGTGAAGAGAATCTCAACTGCAGAACGTTAGCCTTACTATCATAGATGCGCATATTTTCCTGGTATGCAAGCTTTCTCCTACATTTTCTAGTGGCTTGTCAAATACTAAGGTTGAATGGGGTTGAAGCTGAGAGCTTACTGTTTTCTACATCTGCCATAGTTCTCATTTTGTCTAAGTAAAAAAAGTTAGAAAATTCAAGACAAGAGTGATTAAGTTTATTGAAATAACTATTCACCATTAATAGTTTCCATTTTGCCACCCATTATTTTCATTCTAAGTATTTCTATCAAAATGGATTTCTTCCTTATTTTAAAAGTACACTTTGCTACTAAAGATATTTCCCCTTGACCAAATATTTAACCACACATTTTCTATCTGACTTGATGCATTCTGTTTGCCACATAATTATTCTAGCAGGCACAATTTTCACACAGTTCTCTAAGTGAATAGCAATCCACACCATTATTTATGATAAGACTGCATTGTTAGAATCTAAACATTTTTCCATTTTCCCAGACTATACATTTGCCATTGTGCTGTACTGCCAGCTGCTGTACTTGCTCTGTATTACAAACACTTGTATTTACCTATCATTTTTCAAAAAGTACAGCTCAGTTCATTTAAAAAAAAAAAAAAAAAAAAAAAAAAAAAAAACAGAAAACATTTTTCTCACTCTGAAAGTAACAAAAAAATGACTTTTTTTTTTCTAAATAATTTACTATAAAGCAACCTCTTCTACTCTATTCTTTGGTTAAATAGTAAGAACCCAGCTAATAACCTACTTTTTTAAAAGAAAGCTACACAGATGAAGAAAAATAATTTACAGCCAGACTTGCTTTTTCTTACTCATAACAAGTACCTTTGTACCTCGTTAGCACTACTATTCACGCTTTTGGGACTGTTTTGGATAACTGATCTATTCAATGTCAATAAAAGTAGCAGAAACTGGCTGTGCATTCTTCAACAGTTCTGAGAATTCTGCATTTCACATTTTAGTTGATAGGACAGAAGATGAACATTTTATAAGTGTTATCTCCCTATTAGGTATCAAATAAAATTTTCAACATTACATTATATGACAGATTAATTCTCAGGAACACTAGATTTTTAATGACAATTGTAGTAGGTGTATGGCTTCATGATTATCTTTAGACAAGGCATCAGCCTGTATCTCAGACATTTATGAGCTTTATAATCTACACTTTCTGAAAAAGTTTTTAATGAACTTTAATGCACACTGAAGAGCAAAAGCTACACTCCATTTCACAGCTTGTGGTAAAATCACTGTAGTTCACAGGATGAACAGACTAAAGTACATGGACACAATTCAACTGTGTAACTTTACATTCCTAGTATCTTAGCATTTAAAATGGCATACCTTCTGTAGGTGTCTCTGTATTTTGGCCTAGCTTGCATCAGGGGGCAGTTCAGTGTAAAGGAAAGAAGTAATTGCTCCTAAGAGATTCTTTCCACAAGTTTTTCAGAATATATTTATTACTGATTTTCCATCATAATGAAGAAAAATTTGTCTTAAAGATTATTCCTCATCTTATTCTGTGCAGGTTCCTTCACGCTATTTCCAACCATTTGGATTTGGCCCTCGGGGCTGTGTAGGAAAGTTTATTGCCATGGTAATGATGAAAGCAATTCTGGTGACTCTTCTGAGACGGTGCAGAGTACAGACAATGAAAGGAAGAGGCCTTAACAACATCCAGAAAAACAATGACTTATCCATGCACCCAATAGAAAGGCAGCCTCTGCTGGAGATGGTTTTCACACCAAGAAGAAACACGAACAAGAATGAGGGTGACTAAAATGGATCAGCATCAGCATTAAGGTTACATGGCTTTTTCAGCCATGGTCACTAAGAAATACCCATCATTCCTAGGTAAAGATACAGAGTAAAACATTTTGTTGCCCCTAAACAACTGTGGCTTCAGTGACGACTTGTTCTGCCTTGCACAGCAGAACCAGGTTCTGGCCACAACTTCAGTGTAATAAAGAAAGACTAAAAATCACAAAATAGTCCTGTTGCTAGGTGATGTTACACTATATGGAGGATTCCTGGGTACTTTTTAAATCCATCAAGTTCAGATTAAATTATGCCTTGCTTTTCAAACAGCTCAAGTTCAGAGGCTTGTGGGTCAACAAAAGAACATTCTCGATGTGTTTAATTCCACCCTACATGTGTCCCCCTAGCCCTCACCTCCTCGAAGTTGGACCTAGCAGTTTTTAATTACTGAAAATACTCTAGTTATCTGGTTTTGAAAACATATGAATTAACAATATTAAAGTTGATTTTAAGATTATGAAAAAATTTCAAATATTTAGGACACGCATAAATTATAAAAAATGTTTGTACATGAAGTGATTAAAACATTTTTCTTTACCTTGTTTTGCAGTCATATTAAACACATACCAAAGACTTACAGTGTCAGACAGATTTTACTGATGGTAGTAATCTTCAGATTACTAGGTAATATGACAGTTGAAATAACTAATCTATGATTTTAAAACCCAGCATCCTACTACAAGACTATGCTACAGAGGATCTGTAAACATCTTAGTAAAGACCAGCTGAGAATAAGGTAATGAACATGAAACGTTACTGCTAGTATTACTTGAGGGGACACACAACCACACTGATCTCAACCTCTTCTGGTTAACCACAGAAATTTCCCACTTCACTTTGGTTTGGTGAAGAATTTCAAATTCTCTCTAAGCTGCCTAAGCAGTACCAAATCCTGTTTCAATCTGGTTTTAATTGCTCAATTCTACTTCAGAGAGTAAAAATTGAAGTTATTATTGAAGTTATTGCCCATGTTCTTACAACACAGCAGGGGACAAAGTCCCTCCCTAATTATCCACGTAGCTTTTATAGCTTCTGAAAGAGCACTGGGCTGTACCCTGCTCTGAAGCATCCTGCTTCATGCCCACTGACTTAAAGAGAGTCAGTAAAATAAAAAGTGAAACACTGGCTCAATTTTTTTTTTTTTTTAAGGTAAAATAGGATTCACATCTACCCAAGGTAAGATGCAAGTTTCATTGGGTAAATGCTCGGAGTTTTGTAGTGGCAAAGGAGAAAAGTTCTGAAGTAGCAAGCAGATTTTTAGCAAACATTTTTTTAAAAGGTTTTTGTATACACAGATTTTTATTTTAATTATAAATTAGGCTTAGTTTTATAGATAGTCTTTAACAGGAAAGCTACATGACTACCCAACACTTCTTGTTGAAAATGGACCTATCTTGAAATCTGTAGAATCTTGACATTCATTGATATCTCTGCTAGTCTAATGATGAGTTGTTAGTTTTGTCAAGAAGATGGTGATGATCCTCCTGGCTTAATGACAACATTCCTTGACGGAGACTTTCCATTTTCAGTAAGCTTGAGTTTTCATACTGTGTAACCCAAAAAAAAGGATTTTCTGGATAGTGTGCCTTGATGAAGCCAAACAACAAAAGTACATCAGACTTTATACTAAGCTTTTCCTTCCAAGTCACTTAAACTATTAAAAGAAAAAATGAAAAGTTGTTTATGTCCTTACTTCGAAAATCTAATAAAAATTAGATTAATTAATCTGTTCCCTCAGACCACTGCTCTCAGGTACAAGTCCAGTAGAGGAGGATCTATCCAGTAGCATACAAAAACCACATAAACCAAACAAATAAATATGTGTTCCAGTCAAAGGTAATGAATTAGGTCAGGCTGGGACTGGTGAAAAAGAAGGAGCTGCACATTTAGGTAATTTCTCAAAAGAGCATATAAATATTCTAGAGTAATTAAAAAAAATCATAATCATTTATTGTAGCTAGATTACTTTCAAAGTTTTCTCCATTGCATTTTCATGGTACTCAAAAACTACAATAATGAAGTGCAATCCCATACCACCTGTAAATAGAGACAAAATTGGGCATTTGAAAATGTACAGAAATAGAATTTAAGTGTTAGACTGGATGATCTTAATGGTCTTTTCCAATCTAAATGATTCTAGGACTTCTATCTTTTAAGTCGTGAAGTGACACAGTGGTATGAACCTTTGGAATATCTAAAGTAACCTCTATTTCTACGTTCTCTATAGCCTTTAAACTAGGAAATTGTTAGAGCTGTTGAGAGAAGGAACAAACAAACCAACCAACCCCCAAAAAACTGATTAAATCCCATTCTTACTCATTCTGTATCATAAAGAACCAAAAAGGGTACTTCAGTGAACACACATTTCTCATTTGTATGAGATCTTAAAAAGAAATCCACTGAAAGGTCTTTTTTCTCGGGAATAAACTACTATTTTATACACAGTATGCATCTTTGCTTATTTCACACATGAAAACATTTTTATAGTGATAATTTACTCTCTGGTTTTCCATCTCATAATTATAGGTCTCTCCCTGAGTAAAATTTTTCACAAGGTTGGAATTAATAAATTACTTTTATCATTCAAATTTTGAAATAATTATATGAAATCATGTAGATATATGGAAAAATGCATGCTGCTCTGATTTCTTTTAAGTATTATATATTGTTGAATTTGTAGGCTGGAATTTCAGAAACATGATTACCATAATTATTCTATGGAAAAAATAAAGCAGTTTCATTTTTTACTTTTTGTAATCAAGCATGCAGAATTATTTCCCATTGTATTTTAAATATATTCTTTCTGATATGCTTTGCGCATAGTGTTTCTGGTCCTCAAATTTCTACAGTACTTAGTTTTGTCCAAATTTGGACAATAGACCTGTTAATTACTCTGAGCTTCTAGCTAATTTGAGCCCCATTCTCCATATCTTTATGGCTGTTATGCCACGGTCTATTTCCATGATAAGGTCCATTTCCTTTCCTCATATATTTACGTATGTTTGAGAACTGCAGTTGGTGAAGCAGTGTTTCAAAACTTGCCATATGGATATAAACAGTTTAAATCTTTTTCAATGTATATACGCCATTGTACAAAAAAAGAATTCTGATTTTAAATGGTATTTCATTACCAGGTACTGTAAAAATTTAAGTGACTTTTAAAACCACATCAAGTCTACTATTCACAAGTGTCTATTCCATTAATGTTTAATACATCAACATAGACCAAACTTGAAAACTATCTTTTATACATCACTGTGATTATGGGCTGCTCACAGCACATAAATGTGGATGATGTTAGAAAATAAAATAATCATCAAATAAAAGTTGTATGCACAAAATCAAGTTTTAAATCATGTTTCATCGGGTTTTCCCAATCTAAGAATCACAAAAAAAAAAAAAAAAAAAAAAGTATTTAAATGTATGAATGTGTATGCATGCATAAACTGATTATTAAAGTAATAGATACAAGGATGAAATATGGGATGTTCTAAACTCAAATTTCCCACTGATTTCCGAAGATAAAGTACTGCAAAGATAGTTTTAATAACAGTAAGAAAGCAGAAATAGATTAAGTAATTTAAGCTTATACAAGACTGACTGCCTAGAAATGCACTTTATTGAAGCTTTAAAAGAAGTAAGAAGTAGTAGTTTTTGGTGATTCTTAAGATAATAGGCATTTGTGGATATAACAAAAAAGCTTGTCTTGATGATACAAAGGGCTCATCTGTGAAAAAAGTATCTAAAATAATAAAAAAAATGAAACAAAGCAAAGAAATAAACCGACTACATAATTTAAAATAAATTTCATCTCTTTTTCTACTCATATCATGATGGTATGACAAAGTCTGTTTGTATCTGTATAATTAATTTATTTCACTTTCAAATGAAAGCTTTCAGAGTGATTATTTTTACATTTGGCTAAGTGACAGAGAACTGGAAGGTAGTAACTGGCAGACTAAGAAAAAAAAAATCACAAGAAGTCTTTAACATAGCTGCAAATGGATATATTTTTCAGACAGTAACCTGATCACAAGAAAACATTTATCCTAGAATTCTACAAGCTCTATTAGTAATTTTTATACATTAATAAACAATTATCATTTTATTAGATTGTTCACTTTCTGCCTTCTCCAATATAATCCAGTGTTACAGCCTCAGTTAATATCCCATTAAATTAAAATTTTAACTTTAAAAGAAAATCCCAGTTGAAAGTTTACAGCAGAAAGGAATGTATTACTGTGGTATAGAGGAAAACAGTTAAAATGTTGGGCCAAATCTGCTCTGAACTATGGTGAAATAAATCCTTCTCTAATCCAAGATTGGAATGTGCTGCTGACATACTCATTTTAAAGTGGCAGTTACCAGGACTTGAGAGCTTAAGACTGTTAGGGCTCAAAACAACATTACCTATCTACTATTATTGTAATCCTTAAACTTTATGATATCTATTTATAAAAGTGCTGGGTTTGCATACTGTTATAGCTCCAATGTTTTCAAACACAAACCTTTAATTTTACAATAGAACCAAGCACTCAATTCCACAGGTCTACGCTACTGTAGCAATAATTCCATTCAAATGCATCAATCCATTAAAAAAAAAAAAAAAAAAAAAAAAAAACCAAAAAAAAAACACACACAGAATTGTCTTTTTCAGAATCATATTGTGAACTACAGTCACTCAAAAAACCTACTACTTTCATAAAGTGAGATGTTATACTGTTCATATTTTTGCTGTGATCTCTTCAGTTGCAGATACCTTCAGGCACAAATATAATTGAAAAGGTCTACAAGTTAATATTGCACTCTGAGCAGGGTCCAGCAGATGGCACACACAGAAAATTTATTCACACAACAAGAACAGCTTATGTATTATTTAAGTCCCTGCTATATACAAAACCTGGAAGACCAGACTCCTGTGGTCTTACTCAGTTAATAAACACTGCTTTAGGAAGAGGTGGAGTCATTCTAGAGTCATTGAAAGTGCAGAGGTGGAGAGAAAACTAGCC